CCAAATGAAAATGAATTATGACCTAAAGACAGCACAACTTGTTGGAGCTGACACAGACTTTTCCAGCAACAGGTTCAACTACGAGAGTAAATGTCAGACCATCACCAGAGTGGGTTAGCTTCACGTTTCATAAACGTTTGTACATGAGAAAGCCCAGGCTGCCTACCTGACTACATGCAGGCTCTTTGTGTAGAAGTGTAGACGCTGATTTTGTTTTGCTGTTTCCTGGGTTTGATCTTGCGTTTCTTGAGGCTGCAGGCGGAGTCGTACGTCTTCTTGAAATCGGGTTCATTTGTCTGATTTTACAAAAAGAGCCCTTTAAAAGGACAGAGTGTTTTAGAAACCACCACTTGTCAGAGTTGTGGAGGACATCTTGTGCTGGAGCTTCAAACAGGAGGTGTGACTCAAAGCAGCTCTTTTATTGGTCAGGTGAGAAGGTGGGGTCTCAAATCTGATTGGACAACAAGTGCCTGATTTCAGTCATTCAGGTAAATACAGAGGGAAGTATAAATGGGATGTTTGTTTTGAATGTTGGGCATTGATGACTGATTGTGTAGCTATAAATTAAGATCCATCCATCCATCATCTCTACACCTTCATCCTCACCAGGGTCATTCAGGGTGAAGGCAGGTTCACCTGGACAGGTAACCAGTCTATCACAGGGCTACACTTAGAGACAGACAACCAAGCACACTCACATTCACACCTACGGACAATTTACAATCACCAATTAACCTCAGCATGTTTCTGGACTGTGGGAGGAAGCCGGAGAACCCGGAGAGAACCCACGCTGCACGGGGAGAACATGGAGACTCCACGCAGGAAGATCCCGGGTGTCCTCTCCCTTTTTCTCACTGTCTAACATTAAATCAGACGAAACTTTTCTTGTTTTAGGTCCGTTAGGATTCCTTCAAACTATTTGGGAAAGCCCAGATGATGATGTCATGGCTTTGGAAGCTTCTGATAGGTTCATTGACAACATCTGAGTTAACTGGAGGCTCACCTGTGGATGTATTTTAAGGCTCACCTCCAACACAGTGGCCATCACAAAGCCCTAACTTCAGTCCCGTAGAAAATGTGTGGGCAGAGCTGAAAAGGCAAAGCTGACCCAGTTCCACCAGTTCTGTCAGGAGGAACGGGCCAGAATTCATCAAACTATGATGAGAAGCTTGTGGAAGGAAACCCAGAACGTTTGACCCAAGTCATAGAGTTTAAAGGCAACGCTACAGATACTGAGGAGATGGATGGAAACTTCTGATGTTGAAGAAAGTCATAAATTCTCCCTCTCATGACTCTGGCGTTTAGCAAATAGAAATAATTTTGATGATCCTAACTGACCTAAAACAGGAAAAGCTTAATCATATTTAATGTCAGATAGTGAGATAAAAAAAAAGGTGATGTGTATTTTTATCCAGCGTATGTCACCTTCTGGTTCCAGCTGTCTATACACTGATCAGCATCGTGGGAGAGAAGAAGATTGGTGGTGTTTTGTGAAGGCAGCACAATGCAGCAGCACTGTACGATTATTTCCAACAGCTAAAGTAAACACATTCTCTTCCCTTGTTATGTTTTTCCTTTTAGAGGCTGCTGTTTGTTTGGAAACTGCAAATAAATGGCTTTTCTATTTTTCCAGCACTTGTTTTTTTTTTTCCTTTGCCAGCGTAATGTTTTTTCCACCTCGTCACGCTACCTGCACAGCAACAGCACTTCATGTGGATCCATCAAAGAGCGGTTAGAACCGACCTACACTGCCATCCCCAGTCCCAAGTCGCTGGCGTACCTATAAACCATAAGTTCACTTGCTGGGTGGACTTGTTCATGTTTAGCTAACAACAGAGGAAGCACCGTCCTCCTGGTGCTACGAGCTACCTCCAGTTTAGATAATAACGACACCACTAGCTGACCGGAGGGCTACCTTTCCTCCGGTAAGTCGCTGCCCTCGTCTCCAGGACGACCCTCCTCTGACTCCGACCTGCAGCCTGGTGCTGGACGGGACGTCACCCTCCTCACGTTAACCTCCCAAAGAGTAGAGACTGAGCCAGATAGCTGTGTTATGGCTGCTGTGGTTTCACATGTCAGTCCTTGAGGTTGCCGCCTGGTTAGAAGAACCAGCTTGCACAATCTATCAAGGCATTTTAATGGCAGGCTTTTCCTTCCTCTCCTCCAGTATCCCTGCTTAACAAAACTCTTCTGGGTTACACTGAAAGCACTTAGAATAAATAAAACTCCCACTCTCCTCAACTCCCCGTGGTGATCCCGCTCCCTTTGACCACACTAAAACGGAGGCTCCCTTCCACTCCTTATATTTAAATGCGACAGCGAGTGGGTACGGCGCTTCATCTTCACTTCAACATTAAACGCGTCTCTGCTTCATCCCTGTCAGCAAGATGTCTGTATGGAAGGATGCCGGTGGAGGCCTGTGGAAGCTCTTTATTGATGTTCTGATCAGCCTTTCAGGAGGAAGTCCCGTTGGGAACCAGCTTAGACTTAACAAGTCTCCTATCGGGGTGGGAAGGAAGGGAAGGGCTTCAGCGAGCGTACTGTCACCTGAGAATAATTGGGGACATGGAAGGTAGGATACAACAGAACATTCCACACACCTGGAAAGTAGGAAAGCTTCGGCTCAGGTGGATCCATGAAGATGAGAAGATAAAAGGGGAAATCCGTCAGAACTGTGAACAGTGCCTGCACTTCTTTCTCATTAAATGACTAAACAAGGCTATTATTTGGATCTTCATCTGCTTGGATCTTGTGAAGTTTGTTTCAGGAATCTGATGTTAACACAAAAATGATCACGAACAAACGTCGCCTTTGTGAGGACGTTATCGAGGAATTATCAACAACAGGTAAACGCTGGAGTCAGTGCAGATCCCTCTACATGTAAAACTTCATATTTTATTATCAGTAAAGGGAGTAAACACATGAAGTAAATATGATATCTGACATACAGGAAATACGTTTGGGCTGCACGGTGGCTCAGTGATTAGCATCGTGGCCTCACAGCTAGAAGGTCGGTTGGCGTCCCGGTGAGGACACCCGGGATCTTCCTGCGTGGAGTCTCCATGTTCTCCCCGTGCAGCGTGGGTTCTCTCCGGGTTCTCCGGCTTCCTCCCACAGTCCAGAAACATGCTGAGGTTAATTGGTGATTGTAAATTGTCCGTAGGTGTGAATGTGAGTGTGCTTGGTTGTCTGTCTCTAAGTGTAGCCCTGTGATAGACTGGTTACCTGTCCAGGTGAACCTGCCTTCACCCTGAGTCAGCTGGGATAGACTCCAGCCTCCCATAGTGAGGATTAAGTGGTGTACAGATAATAGATGGATGGAAATATGTTTAATTGCTTTCTTCTTGATGGTTAGTAGTCGTTCCTCCATCTAAAGTAAATGTTGGAGCCAGTGGTTGGTTTTGCTCAATATAACAAGAAATAAATGAAAACCACTGCAAGTTAACGAGCTCCTCACCAGCTCCACTACAGCTCACTAATTGAAAAGTTATATCTTGTTTGTTCAACCTCCACAACACGTAAAAATCAGCCGAACAGCAGCTGCTCTGCTGGTTCCAGGGAAAGAAACCGTCCAGCACAGAACCAAAACAAGCAAAACGCTTCCCGCCGTGTGGGAAACACTCACACGAGCAGCACAGGTCAGAACAAACAGCCATCATTAGCATGTGTGTAGCTCCAGCTTACATTTTAAACTGATTGCATCCGGAGTGAATTAACCGTCAACCTCTGCTAAGTACAAAGTGTACAATCAAGCCGTTAGCAGTCATTTTCTGGTTTGTGATGCGCTCTGTTACGAGACTACTGGGATGAAACACACAACAGCAGACAGCCTCTCCTGGGGGACCGCATGGCACTTACCACTGATGTTCATCAGATGGTTATTATTTGTGAATTTGGTAAACACTTCAGCTTTTCATTTGTCAGCCCCCTCCTTCCTTTTCTCTCTCTCTCTCTCTACAAATCCTCAAGTTAGACTGACTGAAGGCAGGAATACAGAAGAACACCAGATAACTTAGACGTTTCACACCCAGGAACTGGACTCTAACCAAGTCTCACTCTTTCTATTTTTATATATTTCCTCTCTGGTGTGTTTTGAAGTTTGGCTGACTGGCAGGTCTGAGCGTTCACACTTACAAAGGTTACAGGGAGCTTTAAAACTGCCAAGTTTATTTCTAAAGGAGCCGTCTGTCAAAATGACTGGCTTCTACACACTTCCCCAAAAACACACACACACACACACACACAAATACAGAGAGACAATTACTCAAACACACACTGTTTTTCCAGTTATTCCATGAGTCTGCCGGTGCTTTACTCTTCACCCTGTGCTGAGGCCTTCATTGCACGCTGTGAGCTGAAGCACCGATGCTGATTTAGAGAGAGTGTGTGATTGGCTGTGGATGGTGGTGACCCAAAGGTAAAAGCTGTTCACCACAGATACAGAAAAAGGAGTGAATAGCAGCCAAAACATTCTTGCTTAGGTAAAAAAAGAAAGACATTTGGTGACTATTTATGAGACGCTGGACAGAACTCAGACGTAGGTTTTCTAGTGAAGCTGTTACAAAACAGAAATGTTGACCTAAACTCGTCACATCTGTGCTCCGTCTAGCAATCCTCGGATAAAAGGTCTCCCAGTTTAGCTCAGGAGAACAACGTGGATGCACATACTGTGAATCTGCAAACGGGTATTAAAGGCTAAAAGTTTTGTGACAGAAAAAAAACCCTGTTTGTTTGCTTTCAGACTGGCCTCACTTTACTGGGTAGCTGACAGTTGTCAACCAGGAAAGTGCACCCATGCTTGCAGCAAAATCTCCCGCGGGTACACAGCTTAAAAGTGAATTCTAATGCAAATATCCGCCTGAAAAAACCGAACACAGTCAAGGTGTGCAAATAAGAGGAGCTGGCGGCCAAGTGACCTCTAAAGCAGTCAGCGCTGTCGTGCTGCTGTGTGGAAGAGCAACTGATGAACTGAAGAAATGATCCCAGAGACAAGCGGAACATGTGATTCATTAGATTTGTAAATTTACTACAGGTGGAAGAACCAAACACCCAGAATTACATTAACAAACTCTCGGCCTGTATAAGAAATGTTTGCTGCAAAAAAACAGAACACCAGCATGCACACTACAGACTGGTCCAGTGGATCCGTCATGCTTCAACAGATTCCATCATAAACGCCGTCACATACACGACACTAAAGTGCACAAAGTGTATAAAGAGTACAGTCATCCCACTACGATCCCTTTCTTCACAGAGAATCTGTTTGTTTTGGACACTTTAGAGGCATCCTGTGGAGTTTTCTTGTAAGCAAACTAAGTTGTTTACATTCTCCACAAAAAGAATTGTGCAGATTCATGAGGCAAAAAAAAAAAATCCCCTCATAAAACATTTAAAAATGAGCTGCACTGTTTAGATCCATGTTTGCTAGCTTGCAGTCTTCTCCTCCTTCCCTGCATTTTGCTGATGCACATGCAAGATACATACACAAAGCAGGGACCCACTCATCAAAACACTGCTCAGCGGTGGCCAGAAACTCCACAGGGTACCTTTGAAGAGAAAATGTGTTGGAAACAAGCAGCGAACACGACATTAAAGACGAACGGCGGAGCTTTCTGGTGGATTCGGTTACATTTACACGTCGTATTTAAAATGATTAGAAGACAAGTGACAAAGGCTGAATCAAAATTTAAACAAAAACAGTCCAAAAGTCCTTTGAGACAATGTGTGACATATTTCCTCCAGTTTATTTGTGATCCGTTGATGTGGTCTTCTCTAAAATGATGTTGTCTTTTGCAGAAAACAGACGAAGTGAATGATGTTTTCATGACTGCACAGCGTACAACAGCGACCAGAAACCTCTGCCGTACGTCTTTAACTGCATTAATTAGCCTCCAGGCTTCACAAAGAAAATCACTTTTGCCACGTACAAAACAGGTCGACTGTAGGTGTTTGAGGAGAATCAGTTTATCTTCTGACAAGCATGAAAAATAGACATAGAACTAACAAAATACAGGCGTTTGTGGTGAAATGAACATTTACGTCATGACTGGATGGATGAAGGCCTATTTCTGACTCGCATGGAACAAAATTAAGGGTTTAAATAAAGACTTGAAACACATAGAAGATCAATAACGTTTGTTTTTAGTTTAGGTTCAGTTTCATCTCGGATCCCTGGTTCTTTTAAACAAACACAACTGACATGTTACAACCGTCTAGAAAATCCTCGACTCACTTTGGTTAACAGGTGACTGTTAGATGCATAATTAAAATGTTAACGCAGCTTCACAGTCCAAAAAATAGATATTCATGTATATATACACATTAACAAAGCAACACACAACCGTAACATGGTGACGCGAGCCACAGCTGAGGTGTCGATCCGACGCGTTCGTTCAAACCTCCATGGGGTTTCTTTTTATCGTGGGACCCGCTCGGAACCAGCGCCGGGGTTAGAGGCAGGGACACGGTTCTTCACCAGATCAAACTGTGAAACCAAAGCAGAGCGCTCGACGCTACATCTCACGTCTCCGGCGGCGTCGGCGGTTTCAGAGCATGACGTCACATCCCAACTCAGCTCAACATTTACTTGCACGAAATGGCAGGAACTGGTAGCAAGGTGTTGATTGGAAGCAAGCCTATGGAACTGTATACGTCCTGTTTGTAGAGTCTTTCTGACACCATCAGCTTATTATTATTTACACTCGTTTTTAGTTATTTCTGTATTATTTTGACAGACATATGTTTTCCCTATTCCTGACCCTGTGTGAAGCTCAGGGCCTCTGTAAACTACCCCTGCAATGCACTTTGCACGTCTCCCCCGTACCTGTAAAATTTAATAAAGTTAATTTAAAAACTAGGCTAAACTCTCGACAGGCTTCTGCAGGTCCTCTAATAGTTTTGCAGTTCGGGAATGTTCTTGTAGAGGTCCAGTGAGTCGGGGTTGGAGAAGGCTCCTCGTTGCGACACCTCCCGACCGGCCACCACCTGTTTCACAGCCACCTCCACCTTCTTACCGCTGATGGTGTACTGCAGAGAGAGAGATGGAGGAAAAGAAGGCGTGTTAGAGAATGATCTGATAGGCTTATTTACATCTGATGGATATCCAGATTGCTCTTACAGGAATGTCTCTGGTCTCCAGCAGCAGGGCGGGGACGTGTCGGGCCGACAGAGCTTTCCTAATGGCGCCTCTGATCTTCGCCACCAACTCCGGACTGAAAGGCTTGCCGGGCGCCATCTTCAAGAACAAAATAACTCGCTCTTCTCCGTCGGCGTTGTACTGAGGAACACAAAGGCTGTCTGACACTTCCTCAAATGCCTCCACTGCAGAGGAGAGCGAGAGGAGAGGGCAAATTAGAGGACGAGCTCACAAAAACAAAAAGCAGGAGAGCAGAGGAGGTGAGAGGTGAAGAGAGGAACAGAGTAAAAGAGAAAAAAAAAGAAGACAAGAGCAAAAGAGCGAGTCTGAAAACGAAGCAGAGAAACACTGCAGTCCTGCTGTCTGCAGTAAGAAACTACTTTTTATTGACTGAACAAATAATGACAAGTGAACAAACTTTAAAAAAAAGAAAAAGCAAACGGATGCTGTTTATTTTTATCTAACATAAAGAGCACCACGACTCAGTTTAAGGTCACAGGAATGCTTTTGCCCTTTCTTTCTTTTCTACCCTGTCTTCCACCCACACCCTACCCCACCCGTAACGTTTGAGACTCACCGATGTTGTAGATCTCCGAGCTGCCGAATCGGACTCCGTTGGGGTTCAGTGTACCATCGCTGCAGAACAAACACAAAGTTTGAGATTCAGAACTCCAACAGTCTGTCATCGGGAAGCTGTCCTGCCACACATCATTCAACCCGCTGCAACGCAAAGAGAAGCGCCGGCGTGCAGAAATGATTTCCGTACGCTGATGACTCTTTTATGCATATGAAGTATGGAAACTTTACGTTTTTCTGTTTACTTCAGAACTTGTGTATCTCTGTGCTTTCGGTTTGTGTCACTTCTCCCCGGAAGCCTCGGAGGTGTTCTTTGACATGAAAACAATCCTATATCGCGCCATAAAGCTGCTCAAGAGTAGCTGAAGGTTGCAAAACTTTCTGAACAACATCACGTAGAGCTGTGCCGAACATCAGGCAGGAAATGGTATTTCACACTCCTCTGATTCTCACCAAACTAAAGAATTAAATGAGAAGCTCATTAAGCGGCTGACCTTCTGCCCAGCATGACGAGGCCTCCCGTCTTGGGGTTGATCTTACAGTAGTCTCCGTGGGCCCACACGCCTGGAGAGGAAGAACAGGATCACATTTAAAACCAATTTCTGTCAAAAACACAAGTTTGAGCGACACATTAAAAACCAAAGTAAAACAACAGAACGGCAACGTATGCGATGAGAAGAAGAACAAAAGCAGTTAAAGGCTATAAAAACAGAAAACATGGGTTTAAGTCAGGCGGTATTTATTACGGGGCTTGTACGGGTGTTTCTATGTGTGCATGTATACTATCGATGGACAGGTTATCGGCCTGGCTGGTAATCGGCGCCGATATTTGACATTTTCCTCATATCTTAAAGGCTAAAAGGAGCGCGAATATTCTCCACCTAAAACATAAAAACATGTAAAACCGTGTCTATCAGGGAGTTCTTTTGCCCCTTTGTGATCTTCAGCTTTAAGATGAATACAGCTGAAACTTTAAGAGTAATCAGAAACCGAACAAGAGGCACAGTCATCGCTACAAATCAGGAAATCAGCTACTTTAGCAATGGCTAAAGCTATGCTAACAGCTCGTGGCTAAGTTCAAGGGCAGCCATGTATTACTTCAGAACAGTGTCTGGGAAAACTAATAATGCTGTAAGATGTGGGCCTTAGTGGACAATAAAACTGACAGTAAAAGATTAACAAAACAGAGACAGAACAGCAGAGAACAAACTGATCTGACAGTAACAGAGGAGAGAATCTTAGCAGGAGTCAAGATTCAGGAGGTTTAGTGGCACAAAAACTAGACAATGAAATCCTTATTTTCTATAAACAAATGACCCAACGTATAAAAGTGTAAAACAACAAAAGCAGTTACTGAAGCGCTACGCAACGCTCCGACGTCTTCACACTATTTATATTGTCCTTATTCAGTTATAATGATCCTCATTAATGAAGTAGCACAGTTATCACTGACCAGCTCCCTGCTATCAGATCCTGTTAAAACATTAAATGTATATTGGTTCACACATATCGATTATTGCTCTTTTTTGATCACCGGCCCTGAAAAAGCCACATCGGCCGATCCCTAACGCACACTGGATCTCAGGTTCTGTTTCTAGCCAGCGCCTGTGTGCTCACCGGGATATGTAGAAAAGTACGCTTTGTGATATTTGCTCCCATTCTCGTCGTTCCAGAAGTGTGTTGGCTGGCAGGGGATCGGCTTCAAGCACACCAGCTCGCCACTCTCTCCCCACACAGGCTTACCTGGTAACACACATATATACATGTAAATTAATGGGTTCAAGTGTACCTTACCACAGCACACACACACACACCTGGACACACACCTACAAACACAAACAGCTACAGCATAAATCCTGCTCAGGTAAAAACAAAAAGTGTCCCTCCCTCAGAGAACCTGGTCCACTTTGGTGTGTGGTTTCACACAGCCCTCGCCTCCTCCCTCCGGACGGTGTTACAGGCTTAAAGACCGACTAAAATAATCCCGAGCTCTTCCTACAAAACTGCCTTTAAATTATCCCTCAATCCACTCTCCTTTGAGGTGGTGGAGACGAGCCAGGGCAGCCGGCAGCAGGGAGCTGGGGAGAGAGGGACTGAAATCAATGAGAAAAACATAGAGGGCTTTGAAGGCTCCCAGCCAGATAAAAAAAAATATAGAACACTTTTTTTTGTTGTTGTTGGATTGTTAATAAAAAAACTGTTTCCCTTTAGTTTGTAACTGCATGTATCCAGGGAAACCTCTCTAATTACTTCTCCAGCCATGGCTGACTTTGCTTCAACCACAAACTGTAATCTTGTTCTGTCAGCAGCTCCGGCAGCAGACGGAAAGTTTGCTCAAGAGCATCTCAGCAGTTTCTAAACATGCTTACGCTCTTCAGTAATAATTCTACCGTCCCTCCTTGGAGTCAAACCTGCAGCTTCCTTCCTCTAGTCCACGTTGTCGATGTAGATGTGCTGAATAAATCTTACCGTCGAGGCTCCAGGCCTCCACGGCCATGCCGAGGTTTCTCGTTTGGATCTCGCCGCGATACACGGGAACTGTCGGGTTCTGACCCATGAAACACGACACGATGTCGGTGCCACCTGGGAGAGAAGACAAACAGACGAGGTGTGTTGGTTGATGTGTTGAGATAAATGCTAAACTTAACATGTTTTCATAGTAAAAAGAAAAAATCCTTCTTTTCTTAAACAATCCTCTAAATGAAGGAAATGCTTTTCATGGTAACCAAACAAAGACATGTGAAGGGTGTGATTCATGATTCCTCAGAACCTGTTGGACTTTCTATCCTCCGTTAGTTCTTGTTGCAACAACCCACAGATTTGTTTTCCTCAGGAGTGAAAGCAAACCAAAACAGGGCTATAAAAGGCTAAAATGTGATATGATGTCAGGGTTTTGTGTCTTTGAGCGCTGGGAGGTCAATTTGACCCTAAGTGACCTCTAAGTTCAAGTTCATTGCAGCTTTAAGTTAAACAGAGTCAAACCTGTGCCACAGATAATGTACTTGTGCTGTTCCTTTCAATGCAAGATATTATTTGAATTATTTTGAACAAATGCAGAAGATGTGTACCAAACCCTGGAAGCCTTAAACTATTGTTTCATAGCACAAACTCAATGGCTGCAGTGAAGTGCTTTTCGTAGCCCTTAATAAGACTTCTGCTCTCCTCCACTGGTAATTTGGCCCATTCTTCTTCAGCACACTGCTACAGTTCTCTCAGGTTTGATGCATGGCTTCTCCCAGCTGCGACTTTCAGCTCTTGCCATGGATGCCCAATTGGATTAAGATCAGGGCTCATCGCGGAGCACTTCAGAACGGTCCAATGTTTTCTCCTCATCCATTCCTGGGAGCTTTCAGATGTTTTGGGTCATTATGCTGTTGGAGGAGCCATGAGCTGCGACTAAGACAAAGCTCTCCGACACTCGGCAGCATGTTTCGCTCCATAGCACCTTAATAATCTGATTTCATTGTGCTCTGCACAGAGTCACGGCACCCTGTGGCAGACGCTGCAAAGTAGTCCCACAGCATAGCCGAGCCTCGTCCATGTCTCACAGGGGGGACGGCGCTCTTTTCTCTGAACTTTAGGTTGTTTTCTTAAATACAGCTGATGCAATTTATCAAAAAGCTCTAATTCAACGTGTATTGTAACAAACTCTAGTCTGGCTTTTATGTTGCTCTTTGAAAAGTGGGGTCTGTTTGGGACTTCTTCAGAATGCAACAGATCTGAGGTTCCTCCTGCAGCCATGGACCCTAAACTTGACATTAATACGAGCAGCTGTGGTCGGAGGAACATGAAGCTGCTCGGAGACGCCTGGCAATGATTTCTCTTCTTTCTCTCGTCTCGTCACCATGATGCACACTGATACCAAACAGCACAAGTAGTTTTCTCCATTTAAATATGCACAGTCACAAATTATAAGATTGAACAAACCCGTGGTACTAATTAAAGACAGTGATCTGCTTAAAACAAACCTCTGTTCATCACTACTTCTAGGGTGTGTCAATAATTTGGCCGTTTTAGAAGCTCTTCATGTTATCAGCAACTTGCACACATGCAAGTATGCACGACAGCAATGTGCATCAAAAGTCAAGCCAGCAAGCCAACCTGCTGCACCTGCTCCACCTGCTGCACCTGCTGCAGCCGATAGGAGCACAGACTACCAGAACCAGTACCGGGGCTTACGGGACTGCACAGGGGAGCACCCAGACGAGCTGGAGATGCCATCTACATCCTGAGCAAGGCGCACCAGATCTTTGGCTGGTGGGTCGGAGAGAAGAACGGATCTGTAGGCATTGTTCCCAAAGAGCACCTGATGGAGCTGCAAGTTTTAATCTCCCACTTGTTTGCTAAGTTCAAACACCTGGAATCCCTCCAGATTCATTAAAGGAAAACAATGTTTTGAATGCAGCACATCTGAGTATTTCTGTAGAACATCTACACTTTGCACTGCTGGTTTTTTATTTAATTTCTATTCAAGCTTCTTGGAAAGATCGGCTCATTGTTTTAGGTAATTGTGTAAAAGCGTACCAACACTTTCTGTACATTTCTCTACTTTGCCTGAAACGTGCAGCGCTGCAACGCAATGTGAAAAAAAGTCTAAATGAATTACAGATTAATCAAAAACATGAGTGAACCCTGAACCGAGAGACGTTACGACACTTAACACCGGCATCAATCTTATATTCTGACACCAGGAAGTGTCGGCGCCCTGCTCCTCCACCTCCACTGACCTACATAGGAGTTCTTCTTCTTCTTCTTCTCCTTTGCTGCTCGTTCCTAAAACCGTCATGAAGACACACACACACACACCTATTTGTCTCTTTCTACCTTCCAATCATCTACTGTTTCTGACACGCTCTATTCATCTCTCTTCCCATTGTTCGCCTCTCTCTCTCTGTATCACAGGCTCCATCCATCCATCTTGTTCGCTCCCTCTGCCCTTCTACCGCTCCTTCCTCCTCTCCTGTTCTGTTCTTTACACCCGTTCTCTCTCTTTCTGCCAGGGTTTTTTTTTTTATTACTGAGCTTTAATTGGCTCCCGGGAGGAAACGGGAACTTTGTCTTCTGATTAAACACTTATAGTGGGGAAGATACGCAATTATTTTATTGTTACGCTCACCTTAATAGGTGGGTACGCAAACACAGAAGTATATTTTAAGCCAAAAGTGGCTTTCTTGGGACGCCTTCCATCACCTGCCATTTAGAGCGCATGTGTGTGCGTGGATATACACGGGAGGGAAACTTGTCACGCCGATCTGATGCTCTTAACGGCAACGACTGTTCGGAACAGAAGCAAAAGGTTTCATTGAACTCCTCGGCTTGTGTGTACATATCTGTGTGAGTCTGCTTTCATTTGTGGAAGGTGTGAGAGCTTTGAACATCCTCCGGCACAGTTTGGGGTCAGACAAAGGCACCGACTGAGACAAACCGAGCAACCCACGCAACTAACCTGCAGATGTGCATTCATGTATTCAGAAAATGAAAGAGCGTAATGAGGAGAAGAGAGGAGAGGAGAGGAGAGGAGAGGAGAGGAGAGGAAAGGAGAGAAGGAATGAGGAGAGAAGAGGAGAGGAGAGGAGAGGAGAGGAGAGGAGGGGAGGGGAGAGGAGAGGAGAGAAGAGAAGAGGAGAGGAGAGGAGAGAAG